AAAAAAAACGTGTTTTTTCGTTTTTGATTTCCTGGTCTGAAATTTTTTTTTAAAGAAATTTAATTTAAAAAAAACAAAATTTTTGAAAAATAACAAAAGTGTCAACTAGGTAAAGCAGCCAATGAAGAACTTGGCGGCAACTCTTCACAAATGGCTTCCTGCTCTACCTTCAACCTTTCACCAAGTCCAAAACCCACAAAACCTTTACCTCATTCGCTCCTAAAACCACTGATTCAAGAACCCGAAACCGAGAGCCGAACCCAAATCCAAACCCCTTACCCAAAGCTCATAATCACTGGTCCTTCCAAGCTCTCCGGCCATGTACCCATCAGCGGCTCCAAGAACTCAGCTTTACCCATTCTTGCAGCGACTCTTTGCTGCTCAGGCACTTCAAAGATTCACAATGTGCCCAATTTGTTCGATACCCGCACAATGGCTTCGGTTTTAGCTTCTCTTGGAGCCAAAGTTGAAGTCTTTAATAATGAAATGTTGGTTAACACTGATGGGGTTGACTCAGTTGAGCCTAATTCGGATGAAATTCGTAAGATAAGAGGTGGATTTTTCGTCATTGGCCCGTTGGTAGCCCGATTCGGCGAGGCTGTGGTTGCATTGCCCGGTGGCTGCAATATCGGGACTCGACCAGTGGACCTGTACATTAGAGGTCTTCAAGCTCTTGGTGCTGTTGTTGATTTGAGGTAAGTTTCTCACTGTTTTCTCTAGCCAACTTCTGAAATGTATAATGCTTGATGTAACTGCAAATTTCATAGAATGGTTCCCAAAATCTTGATTAGACTTGCATGAGAGTAAGCATATTATGCTTTGCAGTGTAGTGTAGGAGAGGTTGTATGGTCACTTTATGATAAATGCGTATACTTGAATTGTAATAATAAGAAGACAGTCTTGCAAAACTTTTGTTACGACTAAGCGTGACACTAGAGGTACAATTTCCTTTACAAATTCTAGTGTGCCAAGTAAGGAATGAAGGTGTGATAGTTCACAGATTGGGTCATTGCTAATCTCAGCTATTGTGGTGGTTGGCATGTTGATGATTGTCTTATTCAATATGACTTGCTTATTTTCTTAATTAGTGACACTTGACACTGATGATTGGTCTATTGGAAAGCGTATCCAAATTCTTTGTTATATACATGGTCTATGAATGATGCAAGGAGTTGATCCAGTAAAATTTATGCAACATACAGGGATGGGAAAGTTCAGGCATATGCTGCAAACGGAAGAGGATTAGTTGGAGGAAGTTTCCAACTTGATTACCCAAGTGTTGGGGCAACAGAAACTCTTATGATGGCTGCATGTATGGCTGATGGAATGACTGTACTATCCAATGTTGCCAGAGTATGATAAGATGAATCTCACTGAACATTTTAGCTTCTAACATTCATTGAATGGAAGTGTGTTAACTGTTATCATTTGTTCTCTAATGGATTAGATTGAAATAATGAAGTGACTTCTTTCCCCAACGTTTCACCATAGGAACCAGAGGTGGTGGATCTTGCTCGGTTTCTTAATGACAGTGGGGCCTGTGTGGAAGGAGCAGGAAGTAACCAGCTTGTTATCAAAGGGAAACCCCTGTTGCATGGTTCTGAATGTGTTATTGCTGCTGATCGTATTGAAGCAGGCACATTTATGCTTGCTGCAGCTATTACTCGCTCATGCATCTCAATATCACCTGTCATACCTTGCCAAATGTCCTGTTTGATACACAAACTCTCAGCTGCTGGTTGCAAAATCAGGCAATACTCTCATGATACCTTGGAAGTATGTGAAAATTCTTAACATTATTTTGTACCCATTTTGTTTGTATCTTACAGAACTTTATAGTTGACAAATAGTTCAGGTTTCAGCAGTTTCTAGATGTGGGGGTGAAAATTTGCAAAGCTTTGAGGTTAAGACAGGCCCATATCCTGGGTTTCCTACAGATCTTCAACCGCAAATAATGGCTCTGCTGACCACGTGCAATGGTTTAAGTCCTGTAGAGGAATCTGTATTTGACAAACGCATGGGTCATGGTATGTGGTATCTGCAGATTTATATGTACATGCATTTCTGCATATTTTTGCTTGCAGGAAGCCACGGATCACTGCTGGTCGTTGATTGTATTAGCCTCACAATGAAGTGAATACGATCAATGGACCGTATAAGTGCAACACCTTGTAGTATCTATGCATTATGTTTGTATATGTGTTTGCTCATACATACACATCATTCTTTTTGTTTCAATGTTTGGAAGGCCGATATATTGCTTACAATTGGTTGCATTGAGATATTCACATACATGTTCTCTGCTTTCTACCAGTAAGTGAACTGCTAAAGCTTGGAGCAAAAATTCAGGTCTGTGCAAGCACTGCTTTGGTCTTTGGGAAAGATAATGGAAGGCACGTAGATTTTCCTTTTATAATAAGTTTTTCTTGTTCCCTAATTGGAATTTGGAATTACATGGATGTGCTAACTCATTTCCATTCTCCTGTCAGTGTCTTGTCTGGTTCTTCCCTTGTTGCAAACGACATTAGGGGTGGGATGTCACTGGTATTAGCTGGATTGGCTGCAGAAGGAACTACGGATATCAGTGGCGTTGCTCATATTGACCGTGGTTATGAGAACTTAGATATGAAACTTCATTCACTGGGAGCTGATGTCAAAAGATTAATGCCTCTGGCTTCCTAATTGGAAAAGTAAGAACCTTGTTCCCCATTATAATTCTTTGCTCTTTCTGGTGCCCATTGTGATAAGTACAAAGAATTTGTGCCAAATTACTGTAGTATATTTCAGTTGCTGAGGGGGTGTACTTTAAAAAAAGGCTTAGAATGTGTTATTAGACAGGGCTACATGCACATCAGATTGTAAGTGATTCTAGCAAGGTTATATAAGTATTATAAGTTCTTAGAGGGATAATGGTCATGACATATGCTACGTATTTCAGTTATTCTATTAATTTAGAACTCAAGTAATCTGCATTTTTATCCATGCTAGTCATGCGTGCTCTAAATGTAAATTTAAAACCGACCTGAGTTTTATTCTTGTTCCTGCATGGTTCATCCTTCAATTCCTGATTTTGTAGCTTGATTGTGCAATCAATATCTTCGAAGATGATTAAGATTGGTTATGCATGGAAAACAACAAGTTACCCAAATGGGATTTGGAATTAATTGCTCTAAAACTCAAACTTGTAGAATAGTTAATGTGGTTAGCCATGGCTGCAATCAAGCTTGCCTGTGCCAGGAAGGCCATCTAAAGTATCCACGTTTCCAAGCCTTTTTGAACCTCCCGTAGAATTCGTTTCCATTTATAAAATTGTTAAAAAATCCTTCCTTCTTAAGCTCCATATCCGTTGCAAGGAGCTTGAAGCACATTGGGTAATCAAGCTTGATCACCCATTAAAATTCGTGTCAAAATTTTGTTGTCTTTTTTATGGGGTGGAGGAGCGGAAGAAGCAGTCAGAGGGCCACTAACTAAGACATCACCAGGGAGTGGAGCTCGCCCGCTCCATTGGTTTTGTGTTATCCCATATGATTTCAAGAGGTCTCTCCACGAAATCCTCAACACAAGAACTGACAGGAGAAGTCAACATAATATGACCTACTACAACAGTAATGTCGTCCTTCTTGCCTCCTGGATGATTCTTTCCAGCCTCCTGAGCCGCTCTTGAATAAGGACTAAAACTGTCCTTGTCCAGAGACCTAAGCCAAGCCAAATCTGCCAAAAGACAAGCCAACTCCTGCGGCTTCATCACACGACTTTCTCTCATGTTTC